TTCGCGCCACACTTTAACTTTTACCACCGCGCGAAATCCTTATGGACGTTGCTTTCCAGGTGTTTGCATTTAATTTTTGTTTTTATTTCTTTTCCACCGCGAACTTCGTAATCACACGACTGTGACAATGTTCAAGCTGCAAGCAGCCGCTCAAATATTGCACACACTAAATGTCTTATGTACTTTATTGTCCATAGCTATGGCCGTTTTTGTACATACAGAACTTATGTACAAATTTGTACATAAATTAGGAACAATATTTCCATATTGTGCTTAAGTATGTAAAACATTGTACCTAATTTATGTACAAATTAGTACATAACTTCAGTATGCACTAAACCGGCCATAGTTATGGACATTAAGTCCGATTACGTCCATAAGCATTTAGTGTGTAAGCACACGAGGAAGTTCTAAAAAATACTGTATTCAGCAAACGTGCAAAGGTTTATTTGTGTGATTCCCTGATGTACAAAATCGCACACATTAGCTATCTTGAGTTATATCATCGTCATTTTTTAGAGTTCCTTTCAGGTTTCAAATTGTACATTTGGGGATGATTGGCATGATTCTAGTGCACACACAAATAGTGCCAATTCGAGCTGAATATTTGAGCAGAATAGACCAAAAAGTGGAACAAAATGTGGTCAGCAGGAGTTCGGTGTTGACCGAAACGTGCGGCCGCTGCTGCAGGCGAGCGCGGGCAGAAAGTGCGGTCGTGACATTGGCCAGACGAACGTGCCACGCCACGCCAGGCCGCGCCTCGGCGCGAATGGTGATATATCGTGGTGACCTCTATTTGAGCGAAGGCTGGACGCCTTATAGAGTAGGAACCAAACCGCCACGCCGCGGACACGGTGGCGCCACCCAGCCCAGTCGGCCGCCGCTTTTTCTGCAGCCCAAACATTCCAATCCATTATTTTTCGCCTGTTTCCGGCCGCCTGACGCCCTGAGACGAATGTCGCTCGTTCAAAGCTTGTGGTGTGTGTGTGTGCGTGTGTGTGTGTGTGTGTGTGTGTGAAGGATGAGAGGAAGGTCAGAGAGCAGATGGGGCAGGGGTGCGCAGATGACAGGTGCAAGTCGACACAAAAACTCAAGTTTTAAAGGGATCGCAGAGGTGACGCCAAGAGGGCAGGGAATCACACTCCCACACTGTTATTATAGAACGAAAGTGACGTCACATTCGCTACAATGTCAATTTTGTTACGTTCGTTTAAATAGGATGCTACTTTCTGCGGAACGTCGTCACACAACCGTTGAATTAGGACGTGGATCAACATTCAAATGAACGTGACATCATATTCGACCAAACACAAAGAGGGAGGAGGAGGGGTAAAAAAGTAGCCCAAAATCGGTCACGTAGTTTGGGGGCAACCCCCAATTGGGAAAAATTAATTTACTATCAATCTTGTCAATTTGGTCGGAATGTCAGAAACCTGTCTGAAATCCTGGTCGAAATTCACGCACCAATGAAAGCTGAAAACGTATTCTGACATTCTGTAGAACTCAGGCCATCAACAGAATAAAATTTCAGAATCTCAGCTTTCTTGCTCAGCTCAGCTCGGAAATCTCAGCTTTCTTGCTCAGCTCAGCTCGGAAATCTCAGCTTTCTTGCTCAGCTCAGCTCAGAATCTCAGCTTTCTTGCTCAGCTCAGAAATCTCAGCTTTCTCGCTCAGCTCAGAATCTCAGCTTTCTTGCTCAGCTCAGAATCTCAGCTTTATTTTGATAAGAATTTCAGAGATGTTCTTACATTCTGACAAAATTTACACGAGTGTATGTTGTTTCAAGTTCGCACTCAGGCAGACAGCCACACTTTTCATTGCGAAGCTGAGCCCCTCGCCAATCACCATCACGTCAATCGGAATGCGGGAGGGAGGCTCAGCCTTGTTCTCAAGAGACGTCCGTTTTCGACCGGGCTGTGTAGGTGTGTCTGCCCATTCGGATGGACACGCACAAAAACGCCAACAAACAAACAAACACGCACACGCGCGCGCGCACCAGTGTGTGCACATGTATGGGCATGCATCCGGCCGGACATCACCCAGGAGTCTCCACCTGTAGCCTCCCCAGAATGGCTCGCCGCTTCCGACTCCGCGATTCATGCGTTTTTCCGGGAACACGTCCTAGACGTCGCAGCAGACTGATCCCGAGAGTCGTTTTCGTCGCTCTGTCTCTCTCGCACCTACAGGGGAAGCCCCATGGAGTGCGAGAGAGACATAAAGACGACTTTCGGAATCGGTCTGCAGGTCCAAACGCGACCGGACACCCTGCGCCATTCTGCACGCCTGCAAGGACTATCTGTGGCACACGCTCTCGGGACGTCCCGGGGTGGCAGGCAGAGGCGTACAGTGACGCACGACGTAGCCATTGCACGAAAAAGAAAAGACAAAATGTGTACGTTTTAGCCCCCAAAATGTATTTAGTTTTACTACACTGGAAAAATGAGGCATAAAAACTCAAAATTTATGAAGTTTTACTACATTGGGAAAATGGGGCATAAAAACTCAAAATTTATGAAGTTTTACTACACTGGGAAAACAAGGCATAAAAACTAAGTCCACAGGGCATAACCAGGGATCCTTAACTTAGCATTTAACTAACACTGCTTTCATAACGTAACATAAGACAATGTTCGCTAAACGTTAAGGGTACGGACTTATGAAAGTACTTGCAAAAGTATATCCACACAAATTCGAGACATAAAAAATAACCTACCCTTTTGAAAAGATGTTAGAAGTTAAGGGTAATAACTTTAACTCTTACAGTATGATAACGTTATGATGCCCTTATGAGGTAAGTTAAGGATCCCTGGGCATAACAGTCTTTGCTGCCCCTTAAGGGAATTACAAGGTAATACCGCGTTGGCAGGGCAAAAAGGTGCTTAGTTAATTGACCAATTCCGTTCCAGCGGCATAAAGGTATCACCTAAAGGTGATATACACCTATATCATTCATAAAGTACGGATCGTGTCAGATAGCTTTTGGCTTTTCGCTGTATTTTTAGAAGAGTGCAAGGTTCGTATTTCTGGGCCCGTCGCCTATCTACAGGGAGTGCAACCCTTGGCTGTTCAATTCAGAGCATGTCCGGTGCCCAACTTGGCACGTGCCGGCATGTGCCATCCACCAAAGCGATGCTATATCCTAAACGAGACGGCGCGACAAGGCCGAAACATGGGCGACTTCTGACACTGTATAATGAGGCGCTATTACGGCCAGTTCTGGGCCCAAGTGTAATATTCCATAAAGGTACCGGTGACCTATTTTAGGACCTTGAATTATCATGGAGTTTGCACTCCAGATAGTCCACTTGTTGTCAGATTACATCCTTGTAGCATTTTTGCCGCGAAGATGCAAAGAAGCCGTGAGAGTAATGAAATCCTTGGACGTTTCTACGCTATGTATTCGTAGCGTTCTAGCGACCATAGATTTGTGAACCAATGCTTTTTTTCCGGAGTTTAGAAGAAAGGGCAACGGTATCGTATTTCTTTGCGTGTTATGACAGAGGAGGCCACATGTTGTTTACAGCATGCGGCCTGCCCACGCATGCCGCGCATGCAGCCACGCGGAATCCTAAACGGCGGCCGTACGCCGTAAACAAGGGGCCCTTTGCCTGTAGTAATCGGCTCTATTCGGCCGTTCGGCCGCCGCACAGTGGAATTTGCCAGAAGACCGGTGGAGGCGGCCGAAATCCCGGACGCGTTTTGAGCTCCAGAGTCGCTGAATGGGACTCGAATCGAGCGTGTGACCCCACCAATCGATTGCTCTCCGAACGAGCAATCCATTGGTGGGGTCACACGCTCGGTTCGAGCCCTGTTCAGCGACTCTAGAGCTCAAAACGCGTCCGGAGTTTCGGCCGCCTCCACCAGTCTTCTGGCCCACTGTGCGCCGGGCCAGTCGCGAGGCCATTCGTCATCCAGCACGAGCACTGCATGATAGTCCAATTTGTTTTCCCTCGTCGCTTTGCTCGCTCGCTCCGCGAACGTCCAATGGGGAGCACCTGTTGCTGCGCACACATCATCGGCCGTGCCTTCAAATCCTATGGCGACCCCCCCCCCTTCTCCCCTGCCTTTCCCTCCCTCCTCTGCCCACTGGGAGAAAACAATCGGGAAGCAATATTCATTCAGCGTGCGAGTGTTAAGGCGCAGTACACACACACAGACACACACACACACACGCACCACAGAGGAAACGTGGGCGAACTGGACTGTCTCCATATAGATGCGCTAAAGGCAGGCTGGAGGGGGAGGGGGGAGGGAGGCAGGCGGTGGGACTTCCCCTCCACCTGGGCGCGGGCCAGGCGGCGCGGGGTAGCGACGCCACACGCCCCGGAGGCGCGGGGTATCGCCGAGCGAGGCGAAGCGCGGCACGCCGCCCAGGCCGCCGCCGCAGACTGCTACTCCACGCGGCAGGATCTGCCATGCTTCTCGCGGACGATACCCCGGTCGCGGCGAAACGCAAAGGCAAGGGGTATGGACGTGCGTGTGCACTGTGAAAAAACGTTGTCACTCTGTCATGACACAGTAAAAACAGAACCTGGTTGTCCCAGGAACTCCCTGGAAATCGCTTATGATTCTATCATAGGCTTCCTGGGAAATCCGGTTTGGTTTTTACCGTGGAAATAGAGGATGACGTTTTACTCACTTTGAACTCGTTAAATTTTCGTCACAAATCGGTGATATTTTCATCAACGCTTCTAGACATAGCTTCTGCATGGACGCAACAACAATCCCATCGACTGGTTTGTTAGGACAGTTTTGCAAGGGACATTCAAGGGAAAATTAACCTTGAAATTGCCATCAAGTGAAAATTTTCACAGCGCGCGGAGTGCAATGCGCACGGTGTCTTGGCAGTAAGAAATCGCTGAGTAGTCGTCACAGACCAAGTCACTTTGGAGACTTGAATGCAGGACCGTGCAAAAGGGGTTGCTTTTAACACTCCCCTCGTTTTCGCCCGATAAGTGGACAATCCCCTGAATAAGGCCGGGCTGGCGACGTAGACTCACCTTGACTGTGTCGTAGTGGCTCTGGTCCGGGTCGAAGGTCGAGGGCTGGCTTCTGCGACACAGAAAATAGACATGGTGTCATCTAACATGAGAGACAAGCGCAATCCATCAAACATTTGAATGTTGCCGCTCCATTTGATCCCCAGATGATCAAACCCAACTTGAGTACAACTGTGTTCTGAAGGCTAAATCGACTGCAGATTGGGACTCACACATAACAAAAAGTCTACGAAACTTCGTTTTGCAATAAGGGAAGAAAACCAATGGGCGTAGTAAAATCTCCGAAGAAACGCTTTGTATTGTGGAGCAAAATAATTCGTACAAGAAGCATTTCATCGTAAGCAAGCAAGCAGCAACTCGACAATGCCTTGATTTCCTTCGTAGTTTGAAGCAGACGCTTCATTGACTTTTTTCGGTACAGTAGGGCTCCAAATCGAGCCAAAAGCTGTCGGGGTGCACACATGCAGGGTCTTATAAACTGAGGTGACTTCGGCATCCTGGGGTGATGTCAACGGGCATTAAAAAACAAAAACGCGACTTTTTACCTACTTTTTACCTAAGATCACCATCTTCACGTTCTACAGCAATTCAAACCAGATCAACTTAATTGTTGCTCCAAATAGTAGTTCTTTTGAGACAGTGTCGAAGTTGCCCCGCATGCCGAAGCCACCTCAGTGCCACAGTTTTTTGTGCACACGAACTTGTCGTACAAATTTTGTTCGAAAATCTGCACATTTTCCCCCATTTTTTTAAAAGCAAAATTGCGTACAAATTTGTGCGAAAATTTCGTGCGCACAAAAAACTGTGATATCTCGTACAAAATTTGTACAAAAACATTTAGTGTGATTTGCACAATTTTGTACGTGGTGTCAATCAATTTTACTCACATGATGGAGTCCCCGTTCATGGAGATGCCCGACGTGGTGGAGCTGGCTGCCGTGGACCGTCCCCGGGCCGACGCCAGTCCCCTGCGGAAACCAGAAAAGGGCGTCAGACGTCGTCAAACAAAAGGTCATATTTCGGTCCACTCGCCGTGGCCGAGGTCGCGGCGCCGCACGCATCACCAATCACAGCAGTGGCGGATCCATAGGCGGCCTTTTCAGAAAGGGAGGGTTTCCTACACTGAGAAAACCTACAAACTATTTTAGGCCTCACGAAGAAAAGTATCTTGTCATAACAAAGTATTTGAGCATACTGAAGCTTACAAAGAAAATACTTCGTCATTTACGAACTATTGCTTCGTTAAGTAAGTAAGTTTGTACAATGTATGCTCAAATACTCAGTGAGGTTTTAAGTGTGTACTTCCAGGGTAAAGTGTGGTTTTCGCCTACCGCTCAGGCGGTATTCTAGGTGCCATGGGCCAAAAAATTCGTGTCCCTCCCTCTTCCTCTCCCCCTGCATCCACGCGAACCACAGGGCGCGCTCGCTTGACCCCAGACACGAGTCTGTCTCCCTCGCACTGGTAGGGCGTCCCCTGTAAGCGCGAGAGAGACAGAGCGACGATAACGACTCTCGGATTCGGCCTGCTGGACCTGTAGGTGTCTGCGCGGCCGCGGGCCCGCGCCTCCCAAACGGCACAGGACACCAAAAAAGTGAAAGGTGTCCCTGCGTCCCGCCGCGTCCGGCCTCCTCAAAACAGTTTGACGCGGCGAGATTCCGGCGGTGATCTATCGGTCCGGTCACCCTATACACATCCCATCCAGAGTCCGGCTTTCCAACGCAGTTAGTGGGCCGGCTCGCGGCCCAGTGCACGGCGGGCCGGCGGGTCAGCAACAAATATACAGGCCAGCAGTCAGTCTGCCTCACTATCTGAAAACCCTACAGACTATTTTAGGCCTTACAAAGAAAAGTAGCTTTTTAAAGTAATTTGAGCACACATAAGCTTAGAAAGAAAATACTTCGTATTATTTATGAACTATTTATTCGTAAACAAACTAACAGTTTGTTTCCGGGG